ATACCAGATAATGATCTGTAGAATAAACTCAAAAAAAGTTACCTTAGTAAATGTATACCTACCAAATAAACAACTGAATAAGTGCTTGGAAAAAATAATTGGGAAATTAGATAACATAAGAACTGTTACTATGAATATAGCAGGAGATTTCAACTGTGTCCCCGATCCTGAAATGGATAACAAATTTAAAACCAACCAAAAAGTTAACAAAAATTAAAATCAGTCTATAAGGTTATGTAATTTAATGAAAAGAAATAACCTGGTAGACTTATGGCGCTTATATCATATGTCAGAAAGAGATTACACACATCTATTGAAAGTACATAAGTCATTTTCCAGAATAGATTTAATTTTGGGTGAAGAAAGTTTGGTAGAACAAACACTGTGGATTACCATAGGAGAAAACCCCTGGGCTGATCACAGTTATATATTGTTGATTATTAAAAATAATAATAATATAAAACCTATGATTACATGGCGGGTAGATGATAGCATTTAAATAGCAATTAAAGATTATTTAAAGAACATAGCTATTCCTAGATTAATTTAAACTCATATGGAAAGATTAAAAGAACATTTAACAAAAGATGACCTTTGTCAAAATAATAGACAAATTGGTTAGTTACAAAACTCTTGGAACAGATGGTCTAACCAATAGATTTTATAAACTATACAAAATTGAAATAGTAGAACACTTAATAAATGCATATAATGAGATGGTGAGCAGAGAGAGGAGTCCAAATGAGCTTTTACCAGCAAAAAAAAAAGCTTTCTCCCTAGGAGACAGGCTTGTTTTAATTACAGACGTTTGATAAATATGATGGAAGTCAGCGTAAAAACAACATATCCCTCCTGACCCTGTCGATTAACGCAGAAAAGATGTTCAACAGGGTCGGATAGGGCTACATGTTTTAAACGCTGGAAACTATTGGATTGAGAGACTGGATCCTAAGTGCAGTTAAACCAATATATCCCAACCCATCTGCCCGAGTAGTGGGGGTAGACATGTGCTATGAATGGTTCAAATTAAGTAACGGGACTGGACATGGGTGTCCACTCTATCCATTTTATACATATTAACATTGGAGATGCTGGCAATTAAAATAAGATCTAATTCTAAGATCAAAGGTTTTCAGTGACTGACCCTGTGGTTTCTGCTCGCCACCTCATGAATGAATTAGAACAATATAGTTTGGTTTCAAATTACAAAATCAATAAAGATAAGACTGATGTTTTTCAATTATTTATTCTTTATTCATTTTTTGACTATTGTTGACAAAAAATACAAAAACAGACACAGACAAAATCAACTGTACAAAACATAAAATCATGCTGAACAGTCAATTTAAAAACACTCCTCCCTTCCGTATGATCACACATTTCCACTATGCTCCTTTCCTATTTACTGGAAAGGAGGAACATATAAAACTACATGCATGTCCGGCAGGGAAGCTCCTAGCGAGATTAAATATCATAAACATCTTATTCTAGGGTATTTATTTATCATGCTAACTCAGGGATCGATTTTATTCATATGTCCCATTTGTAATTCATCTTCAGAGTAAAATTTTGGTACTTCTCTATTACTTTTTCCATATTTAATTGGAAGAGGAGTTGATTTTTAACCTTGATCCATAATGGCAGAATACAGGATTTCCATTTTCCATTGCCAGCAAAATATGTACCACTATGTCATACTCTACTTTAGGCATTTTTGGAGAAGGCAAGTGTCATAAATAGGAGTCTGGCTTTAATGAGAGTTTGATGTTACTTATTGCTTATTGCAACTAAAATACGATTTAGTTGGTTTCCTTGCTTTGGGTAGTTGTTTATATATACCCAGCAATATAAGTTTTTTGGTCTCTTCCTGCCATTTGTTTTTTCTTACGTTACCTGTTTTTCCTATTATCCCTAGAATTATTAAAGGTAGGGCCTTATTACTGTCTTATTACTGCCACTCTCATTTTGGACTTTCTAGTCTATTATCATTTTTTCTAAGTATCTAAGAGTGGTACAGTGCACAAAACAAAGTCAATAAATACATACATAACCTTGCATTATTTGAAAATTTCTATAAGGTAACAAACAGATGGTACCTAGTTCCAACAAGAATGGTTAAATGGATAGTAACATCTCAAATGTATGTTGGAGATGCAATTTATCAATTGGCAACTATATTCATGTGTGGTGGAGCTGTCCAAATATCAAGAAACAATGGGACTGGGTGTTCAAATTTTTATTCAAGTTCGACGAGATTGAGATGCAGAGATTTCCCTAGTCAGTATTATTATATTTGTTCTGGCCAACTATGACAAGGAAACAGCAAAATATAACCATATATAGTTTAATGGCAGCAAAAACTCTCCTGGCTAGAAATTGGAAACAAAACAACTTAACGTATTCCCAGTGGAAAACCCAACTGGTATTGCAATTAAAAATGGAGATGGAATGTGTTGGATAACTAATATATCATCCAAAAATAAATCATTTAGAGAAGCATGTTTGCATAAAACACTTACTCTAATAGAGGAAAATTCATAAGAAAGATTGAAGATGAAGGGAAAAAAAAGTTCCCATTTAACAAATGTATGCCCTGTTCTTTCTCATGGCTAACCAAAACGATGTTTTTAAATTTTTTTTGTCAGTTTGTGAATTGTATTGTATGGATTAATTAACTGTCTACTGTATGTCATTCATTGATAATGTGGTAAAATAAGGAAAAAAAAAACATTTTAATAAAGAGTATTAAAAAAAAAAAAAAAAAAAAATTTGGACGTATGCACCCTCATTTGTTTTCACGGAATGCTAAATTCTGGTTGCCACATCTTAATTTTGTTTAAGCTGCACATGTGGCATATGCACACTGCTTGCAAATGTTGGAGTGAGCTCTCTTTTACTATATGGTAACATCTTACCTCTTTTTCCAGTCTGCTGCTATTGGCTCTGCCCCTGATCTTCCTGCTTGGTTGACATCATCAGAAGTGCTGTTCTGAGCCAATCACAATACTTTTCCATAGAAAAGCATTGGATTGGCTCTGATTGTTAAGGAGGAAGATTGAGGCAGAGCCAGCACAAACTAAACTGTGAGGAAGGTTTAGTGTCTCCATGCGAGGGTGAAGACACTGAATGGCAATGCTGCACTGCCCCAGGAAGCACCTATAAAAACCATATGAGAAGAACCTAGTGAAGGTATCCCTAGGCTGTAATGTAAACATTGCATTTTCTCTAAAAAGATAGTGTTTACTGCAAAAAGCCTGCAGGAAATGATTATACTCACATAACAAATACAATAGGCTGTAGCGTTTCTGTAGACTATAGCTTCCTTTTAAGCAGAGTACAGAATATTTGATAGAGTCCTAACCTCAACATATGAGGAAAGGGATTTAGGGGTGATTATTTCTGATGACTTAAAGGTAGGCAGACAATGTAATAGTGCAGCAGGAAATGCTAGCAGAATGCTTGGTTGTATCGGGAGAGGTATTAGCAGTAGAAAGGGGGAAGTGCTCATGCCATTGTACAGAACACTGGTGAGACCTCACTTGGAGTATTGTACACAGTACTGGAGACCGTATCTTCAGAAGGATATTGATACCTTAGAGAGGGTTCAGAGAAGGGCTACTAAACTGGTTCATGGATTGCGGGATAAAACTTACCAGGAAAGGTTAAAGGATCTTAACATGTATAGCTTGGAGGAAAGACGAGACAGGGGGGATATGATAGAAACATTTAAATATATAAAGGGAATCAACACAGTAAAGGAGGAGACTATATTTAAAAGAAGAAAAACTACCACAACAAGAGGACATAGTCTTAAATTAGAGGGACAAAGGTTTAAAAATAATATCAGGAAGTATTACTTTACTGAGAGGGTAGTGGATGCATGGAATAGCCTTCCAGCTGAAGTGGTAGAGGTTAACACAGTAAAGGAGTTTAAGCATGCGTGGGATAGGCATAAGGCTATCCTAACTATAAGATAAGACTAGGGACTAATGAAAATATTTAGAAAATTGGGCAGACTAGATGGGCCGAATGGTTCTTATCTGCCGTCACATTCTATGTTTCTATGTTTCTAAGCTGTAGTTGTTCTGGTGACTATAATATCCCTTTAATTGCTTGTTGTGCTGTTGTTGTGCTGTTCCCTCCCCCCCCCCAAGATTTTATTTTGGAGACAAAGCATTTTAATTGGATTGTAGATCAAGCCTCTCATATGTATATACACAATTTTTATTTATAAAATTAAGTGAATAAGAAACTCTCAATTAGAAAATTGAAGCCCCGCAGTAAAAGGGATTCTGGGATATATCATGTTCTTCTCTAGAGAGCTATAGTAGGCCCAGATTTCCCTGCGTTCTCAACCTATTTCTGTATAATGATTATGCCCCCGAAAGAATAGCAGGTCTTGAGCATATCATACCAACAGCCGACATTTTGAACTGATTGCTTTTTGTTTAAATTCCTGTATAACATATTACATAAATAAAAGGGAGCTAAACCCCATAAGGTCCCTCTGCACCAGTCTGAACATGGTTAAACTGGTCTTTCTAATGTTGGCAAAACAAATTCGCTTTAAAGGGTTTGTCATAAACTGAAGTCTGCTACTTGAAAGAGTAGATCTCTGAGATGCACTTATGACTCACTGTGTAATATGGTTAATTAATACTGCCATAGGCGTGCGCACAGGGTGTGCTGGGTGTGCCTGGGCACACCCTAATCCCCGTGCGCACGCCTATGGTCTGAGTCCTGCAGGAACAGCGTTCCTGCACTTTTTTTGAGCAGGAACGCTGTTCCTGCAGGCACTCAGCGTCCCCTGTTTCACCTCTTGCCCCTGTCATTGGGGGGAGGGGGGGGGCAAGAGGTGATGGATCCGTACCCCCTCTCGGCAGCTCAGCCGCGGCGAGGGAGCTGTCTGCTCTCTGCTCCCTCTCGCCGCAGAGTGTGTCTGTGTGTGTCTGTGAGTGTATGTGTGTGTGAGTGTGTCTGTGTGAGTGTGTGTGTGTCTGAATGTGTCTGTGAGTGTGTGTGTGTACGCATATATATATATATATATATATATATATATATATATATATATATATATACACACACACACACACACACACAGAGCCGGCACTATCTGAGTGCCGGCTCTGCTCTAAGCCTCCATGGGCTGGTGGGGAGACCAAAGATCTACCTCACTGGCCCACAGCAGCATGGAGGGAGGCAGGAGAGGACCCAGGGAGATCTAGACAGAAGCTCCGCCAGGTTCCTCTCGCGATATCTGAGCGTTGCCGCAGCAATCTCGCGAGAGTTAACTCTAGCCCCGCAGGCTAGAGTTCACTCTCCACTGGACCACCAGGGATGGCACATGGCAGCAAGGATTTACTAATCTGCCAAATCCCTCCAAACATACAGCACATACACATACAGCACCTACACACATACTGCTCACACACACACAGTACACTAACCACACCCTCACAAACACACACAGCACCTTTAAAAAAATACAACACCCTCACACACAGCACACTAACAGCACCCTCACAAACACACACACAAACAGCACCCTCACAAAAACACGACACTCACACAAACAGCACCCTAACAGGACAAACATACACACACAAACACCCTCACACACAAACAGCACAGTCACAAACACACACAAACACCCTCACATCACACTAACAGCACCCTCACACACACATCACACTAACAGCACACAGCACACTAACAGCACACACAGCAGTGTATGTGTGTGTGTGTATATGTATATATATATATATAAATATATATATATATACATATATAGATACATACACACACACACAGACACACACGCGGCGTGTGTTTGTGGTTTAGGGTGCACACCCTAATGCAATAGGCTGTGCACGCCTATGAATACTGCTTAAGTGAAAAGGTTGTGTATATGTATAAAAAAATAATAATTTAATTTCTTTTAATGCTCCCATGCATCAAGGAGATTTACAGTGAGCATCAAATATTCGGATTGATTCTTGCATTTTTTTTCTTTTCTTGTAAATTATTCTGAAACCCTGGCTGAAATCATACTGTTTAAAATGCATCATATCTGGTCAGACTTTACTGGCCTTATCTCATTAAGCCATCAGTCTGTTTGTGTTCATCAACCACTTCCTGAAGTTTTAGCAACAAATTGTGCTCATTTCTTCCTGCCAATGGCTCCAGGAATTAATGTCATTAAAGTAATTGGGCTTTAACAACACTTGTGTAATGAATTGGGTTGTTATTCCGTCTGGTGCATTGAAGCTAATGTAGGAACACAGCCTTGTTTTTATTATTCATCCAATCTTCCTGAACACCTGCAGATCTCACATGAGTAGCTTCTGTTTGCATTTCCAGGTCCTTATTTAATTAGATCCATGTTGAAGCAGCAAGGATTTCATTCCAGAAATGACTCTGTAAACTGAATTATAGATTGCTCAGTCTAATACCAAATAGTTCCACATGGATTACTATGTAATATTATCGGGAAATTGGACTGTCATGTCATTTATTGGGTGTCAATATCAAGCAATTAAAGAGAACTCACATTATAGGCAAATGATGGTTTGAATTAAATAAAAAGTAATATTATTATTAATTATTTAGCTTCAAAATCTCATCTGACAGAATGCATTGTTTGCTAAAAGTAGTAGTAACGTCATTTCAAATATGGTAAGATCACCCCGAAGAGAGTTGAGTCACCATCTACATTGGAGCAATTGGGATAAGTATTCTGCTTGGAGAGGAAGGATGTATCTATGCACCTGAAAACAATGTTTTGGGGAGTATCATCGGTACTTGTGAATATTCCATTAATGCCCCAAAATCACACCTCCCAAGTATCCCTAGTTAGGAGGGACAGTCCTTATTTTGAGCCCAATTCTCTCTGCCCCTCTTTTCTATCCTAATGCCCCCTTTTTCTAGGAGTTCCATATTGTTGGGGAGTCGGAGTGTATAACAGCAATGTGTCTTTAAACTACCATATATTTGTTTAGAAATCTGTCTGAGTAAATTGAATACATTGTTCTTGTTCTAAACTGCATTTTAGTTGTATACTTTGCTATTAGTAAAAAACTTAAAATTTCTCAGGGTAAACCCCACCCCTGGGCACACCCTCTCACACCCTTAAAATGAAAGTGCCCGTCTTTGTCCATTGACATGTTGGGAGGTATGGATTATTGTGAGGTTAATGTAGCATTCTGCACCATGAATCAGAATGGCTTACATGGAGCTGGGCAAAAGGTAGATTCTCAAATGTAGAACTGTAAATGTGATGTTGATTTTCCAGCCTTTAGAATGGCAAACATCATGGAAGTTACAGTTCTAAATCTAAATTGGTCTATCTATTGGGCAGCCCTGTTTATTAGCACTGACAGTGATATGACACAGAATGTATCTGCAGGAAAACCAAAGAAGGTTTGGACACATAATTTATTTTTTAGTATATGTGTTTTAAATAGTTATCTTTACCGTTTTTCTTGGAAAAATAAATGTTGAAAACCTTTATATTTTTTTAAAACTCTTTATTTTCCAAGCATTTTACAGTTAAACTAATTAATTACCTGAAAATAATTCATTACATAGGCTAAAAAAAGAAATAAATAATATTCAACTGTATTTTCTACAGCAAGGGTGCCCAAAAGGTAGATCCCCAGATAGTGTAAAAATACAACTCCCATGATGCTTTTCATATCTTTAGAATGCTTTGAAATGACAAAGAATGAGTCATGGGAACTGTACTGTTCTACAACATTCAGGGATCTAACTTTTGAATACCCCTGGACAACAGTGTACTGCACATCCTATGTGTACTGCACATCTTATTCATCGTGTTCAACATCTGCATGAACAGGATTAAGTAGATTCTCTTTAAAAACAAACAAAGAAAAAACTGAAAAACTCAACTTGGGAAAAAAAGAGTTTAAAAAGCTATTAGTTAAAGGGCCACTATAGTCACCAGAAAAACTACAGCTTATTGTATTTGTTATGGTGAGTATAATCATTCCCTTCAGGATGTTTGCAGTAAATACTATTTTCATAGAAAAGAAAGTGTTCACATTACAGCCTAGGTATACCTCCACTAGCCACTCCTCAGATGGGTACTATAGGTGCTTCCTGGGGCAGTGCAGCACTGACATTCAGTGCCTCCACCCTCTGCATGGAGACACTGAACTTTCCTCATAGAGTTGTATTTATTCAATGAATCTCTGAGGAATAAGATGCTGATTGGCCAGGGGTATGTTTGGCTTGTGCTGGTTCTGCCCCTGATCTGCCTCCTTGACAGTCTCATGGGAAAACATTGTGATTATCTGAGATCACAACTTATGATGATGTCAACCAAGCAGGCAAATCAGGGGAAGAGCCAGCAGCAGGCTGAAATAAAGGTAAAAATTTACTATATTTAATGGGACAAAGTAGGGGGGTGGAGATAGATGGCTAGATAGTGTTTTTAACACTAGAGGGTTAGGAATACATGCTTTTGTTCCTGACCCTATAGTGTTCTTTAACCCCTTAAGGACCAAACTTCTGGAATAAAAGGGAATCGTGACATGTCACACATGTCATGTGTCCTTAAGGGGTTAAAGAGGGTGATGAAATGTGACAGGTGGGGACTTAAGAGAGGTTCAAAACTCCCATGTAGTAATATGGGAGTCATATTGAGGCCCATAGGCTTATCAAATATATATATTATTTTACTCCTTTATTAAAATGGCAGCTCTCTAATCAGGTCATGATTCAGTTTCAAATATTTTTTTTTACATAGTCCGAATCCTATGCTTCATATAGACTTTGGATGCGAATAAGCACTGATTCTAGACCAGACAGAGAACGCTTCTGACCGAATGATCCCTATTCAGTTGGATCGACTGACTTGGTGCTAATAAATATGAGAATTGCCATTCTAGTTGAAATTTTGTTATTTTCACAGAATTTTGTCCATTCTTAAGTGAATAGCCCTGTAAATTCTTCTAATGATACTCTACTACTAGCACTTTACTTATCTTGCCAGTCTAATTTTTAATACTGTCAGGGTTATTTAATTAAGTTTGCATTGTCAGAATTATAAGTAAATTCAAAGTGCACGTTAGACATAAGGCCAAAACTTTAGCTAACTTGGAGATATTTTTCCAGTTTGGGTACTTCGGCTTTAAACTTGAAAGACACTAAGAATTAACTTTGAATCGCTGAAAATTCATAATTTGATAAATAACCTTGACTGGCAACATTTTTCCAGTTCGGCTTAACTGGCATAACATTTGAAAATCATTTTGAATTGACTATTAATTACCCATAATTATCATTTTATCAAATAACCCTATGTGTCTTTTTGACAGCAGTTTAATGACAATGAGGAAGTATGATGTTCTCCTATTTATTGGTTTAAAAATATATCTATTTTAATAATCCATAGCTATTTCTCTGAATTTGCACATTATAAGATGATATCTACAAGATGATTTCAGTTTTTCTTTAAGATGTTTTAATATTTCAAATCATCTTGTATAATTTATAAAATTTGATTAGGTAGCCCCTTTTTATTCAAGAGTGTAATTAACATCCTGACAGGTCCCGATGGGTGTTTGAAGCTGTGCATTTTAGTCTATGGAGTTCCCCTTTGTTTGTGTTTCTGATTCTTTTCTCTAAACACATGAAAAATGTTTGTGGAACATGAACTATGTTTGCCTGTTTTAACTTGCATATTTGCACACAAAAAAAACGAATCACAATTTAAATAAATCAGTAGGCGTTAGCTAAACCTCAATGACAGTACATTTCAAATTATATATAATTTCTATGTTACACTGATGTAGACAAACCTATAATGTCATTCAGCCGGCTGAAGAGTCAATTATATTGTGTAGAATGATTGATTGACAGTGGTCTTTAGTGTATTTGTCAACGGTTTAGTGATACGGACTGTTAGTAATTAGCTGTCATGCAGGAGTGTAAACAATTAAATGTGAGATTTCTGGGGATAGATTACCTAAATAAACTGTAACAAGAAACAATAGTATGATAGATTGTAACCATTCTAATTTTTCTAACGTGGAAAGGTCTATCATGATTTTTTTAAAAATAATCCTTAAAGGGACAATATAGTCACCTGAACAATTACAGCATAATGTAGTTGTCCTGGTGAGTATAGTCAGTCCATGCAGGCAGTGTTTACAATGCTGCCTAGGGACTCTTCCAGTGGCAGTCAGGCAGAGGGCCACTAGAGGTGATTCCTGAGTCAGTGCTACACAATGCACTGATGTTCAGCATCTCCACGCTCTGCATGGAGACACTGAACTGTTCCCATAGAGATTCACTGAGTCAATAAATCTCTATGAGGAGATGCTGATTGGCAAAGTGTGGCATTATACTGCGCATGTGCAATAGCCTACCAATGCTTTCCCATTCTGATGATCTCAGCCAAGGGGGTGGATTGAGGGGGGAGACAGCGTCGACAGACCTGCACTGCGCTTGAAAAAAAGGTATGTTTTCTACTTATTTAAGGGTGGCAGGGAGCGGCTGAATGTTAAATAGTTAAATAGTGATTTCAATACTATAGGTTTGTATTTCTGTCCCTATATTGTTCTTTTATCATTATGTTTCATACTCTGTATCAAATTTTACTCCTTAAATAAAGAATTAGGAATAATACTTGAACTGTAATGAATGATATAAAATTCTTTTTTATAATTATGTTTTCTGCTTTTGTTAATTTTTAAATTATTCAAACAGTAACATATTAGTTTATTTTGGAAAAACAACAAGCCCACCAACTGTAATAACATACTTATCTATGTTGTTATTTATGAAATATGCATTTCCCTACACGAGAAT